GATTTTTTATTTCATTATCTATATTTAATATTATAATAAATGATAGGCTTTTTTGAATCGTTTTTGAATCGTTTTTGAATCTTTGTCTGACCTGTCCCAATTTAATCCCAATACAATTTCATTCCAATTGGTGAATCGGCTATTTTCTTTCTTGCGAGTTCTATTTTCTTTCTATTATCATTTGTTTAAATTTATAATGTAATATTTATGGATTTCTGTTAACTTGATCTCGGATGGCCACTTCATTTTATTCCGTTCACTTTTTCTGCTTTTTTAATTTTCCATTAAGCCATTCTTCACTAATTCAATCATTCATTTCACTTTCTTGCTTATTTTTCTTCTTAAATAACATCATTGTCTATGTTAGTATTCGAGATTGAATTATTTTCGAAATACTGAGTACTCGAAAATTGATTGTAACCTATATGAGCACTATATTTTTATCAATGACTTTCGGAACAAATATGGGTAATGTGCACTTATTGGACCCTAATTTTGTACACATGCATGCAACTTCATATATATATATATATATATATATATATATATATAGTCGTAAGTGATTCAATGCTTCTGTAATTGATACAATATTACGTCGCACAGACAAAAGGCCTGACTCATCGCTAAACATTGTGAGCTACTGTAATTGGCTCATATCACTAACAAACTATGATGGTTTCAAAGTTTTTTTGCCAAAATATGGATTCATTTCTCTTTGGTGTGTAAAATAATTTAGCTCAAAGCCACACCATTGTCATCTTACTCATTTCCAATTTTGATTATTCTGGTATGAGAAATGGTCACACCTAATTTTAAAATCTTCATATTCGGTTTGGTTTACTTAATAGTAGTTTAGGGGAATGAGGTATTCATTAACAATCAGAGAGCGAGAATCGGCACATTAGGCCATGTACGAATCTCCTGCATTAGCATCTATTTTTTATGCTTTATTACGAGCATAACTTGTACAATTATCATCTTATCAATAATAAAGGCAGCCCTCAAGCAACTTCAGACAATTATCGAGGGTATAAAGTCCAAGATAGTGTAACCCTTAGTATCGTCGCAGTCTTATTCCGTTGTATTTAAGTTGTTTAGCCTTGCATTCGCAACTTGGACATATTGGTAGGAAGACCTAGAGGAACGTACCTTTTTTGGAGTCCATAAAATGCACTATAATTTTAAGTCTGATCATTGACTTAGTACATTCCCGCACGTTTCACCGGCATCTTAGTCGACATCTCCATTGAGCCGTGCTATTCTTAGCACCAGACCACAATTTATTAAAAACAATAAAGTTAATCCTTTGACCAATTGTCTGATAAACAATGGAAGAGAGACTGATAGGATCTGGATGAAGATTGTCGTAACGAAACGGCAAACTTTGATCAACGCTTCTAGCACAAGAAGGTGAATAAGGGAACGAGCGGGGAGTTCGAATAGTTCTCACCAAACCCGCTCACAATGGTTCATCGACTACGTTCAGATATATAAGTAATAAATTGCGATATTAAAGAAGTGATACTAGGATGTTGGATAGGTAAATACACCAGGAAAGGAGAGATAGCACAACTTTATTGCGACAATTGGTCAAAGGATCGACTTCACTTGTCTCTGACGAGTTGTGGTGTTAAGCTAAGGACGACAAGGCTTACTGACGATGCCGGAGAAACGTCTGGGAATTTGCCAAGTCCGAAGTCCGACTGGACGTTATCATGTATCATATGGGCTACAAAAAATACCAGCTTGCCTGATGCTTCTTCTCAAGAAGTGTCAACTATCCTGAGTTTCTCTACTTGCCGCTTCATGCACCATTTCTTGATATTCCTATTATTTTGGTTGATTTGCATCCTACTACATCGAAGCAGCTTGAACTGTCTATTAAGGAGAAATGCTTGTTTAAACCAAAACTGAGCCTTCAACTGATAGTGTGGTTAAATCACTTAACAAAACTACTGTAATTGATCGGGATCTTGTTGCACCTGCATGCCCTTGGTGATTATAATGCCACTTTACATAGTTACACACCTGAGTCATCCGTCTAGGTCGTCCGGTTACCTTTACCCTCCACTTATTAATATTATATACTACCTTCATATTACTACTACATAACTATGTCCACCTTTAGCCTACACATTTTTTCTATCTGAAAATGTTTAGGTAATATCATCTGTTTAATACGCCCAAGATTCATTGCATATAAGAGGATCCCAATCTAGTGATTCAGCAGAGGGCGCTTTTCTTAAGAAAGATTACTTAAGAGCATTTCTAAATTAGCTGATAGCTTCTCCAGTATCTGTAATTGATTGTTGTAATGTTATTTGAAATAATTTCATTTACAAAAAAAACGAATAATATACGGTGCAAGCAAGCGATTTAAACAATTAGCAACGCTGGGTTGTGATGTATCATTGTAAAACTACGTCATTTTAGAATACCCCTGCGAAGTATAATTAGGAATAGAATAGAATAGATTCAGGCAAAAAAGGAATCTAGCCTTTTTTATGAAAAGTAAGTGAGTACATGATTACTGGGTTTATCTTACGAGTATTTTCATTCATCTTTTAGCACTGGACTGTAATTCAAATATAAGCAAATGTCGGTTCACAGTAGTGATTTTCCATGATGCCAAATTAATTTTTATTATGAATCTAATTATTATCTTAAGATCATTATGGATTGTTTAAAATAGACTTTATATTTTTTAAATCTGTAAAACTGACTACAAAGTATCATATCATTTCAATCATGCTAAAATATGATGTAGTTACTGAACCAGTTTCAAGTGCGGTCAGCATTATATTTAATGAAATCCTTTTGTATAAGTACAAGGCAAATAATTATTGCAGATACGAAGAGAAACTGGGTTTCGATGAATCTCCTGTGATAACATTGTAAGGAGGACATTCATTTCGTATGAAAGTGAATGAAAAAGGGATTTGTTGATCGATCTCACTAGATGATGGCGGATAAATCTCGTTATACTGCAGCCGTTTGGCTTTTATATGATATTCATGTTGACGCAGTCCACGAGACTTCCAAACTTGTTTCGGGTGAAAACTTGCTGAGCTTTCGTCCATCATATGGTGAATATCATCAGAGCTGGGTTTAATAAAAGATTCAGATCCTCAAGACCTAATGAGGATCAGAACCTGTGATTAAACATTTTTACAACTTAGATTTAGGAACCGTATTGCATATAGACGCTAACGCGCACACATACACATGCGCATACACTCAAGCAAAAGTAGCAGAACCAGAAAAAATCTCTTGAGATGAGATGTTTTAGTGGTTTTCGTTTTCTTCTGAATCAATCAATGTACATTTTTGGACTATGGGTCGATTTATTCGCTTAGACATTTTCCTTTGTTGAGAGTAAAAATAGCCTTGGCTTTGATACGTCATATGACTGCCACCGTTATAACAACTTAGCCAATATTTATAAGAACGTATATTTAGCACTGAATAGGAAAGGTAGACTTTTCTTAACCTAGTGCTGATAAGAGGTTTTTGAGAAACTGGATTCCACTCGTGACGATCTCTGTGATGTCAAATGCAAAAGATCAGCTGGATATCACCCTAAATGAATGTTTCTTTGGCTAACCATTATGTATATTCAAATATAATCTGAAATCATAGTCGTTTATGGACGTTACGACCTACGTGTATCATGGTCATGCGCATTCACACCAAATAATTTATTCGCAATTGCAAAATTCTTGCAAAGTACATGTCTATTTATGCGATTTAATATATTTATTAATGTCTTATTTGAGCCCAATAGTCATTTTTTTTACCCAACACAAAAACCACTGTTTTAGTTTTCCCCCTACAATACAGGATTTAGATGGATTTGTAATTCTTTAATGTCATGGAGCTTCTTTGGTAATCGTCCAAAAGTTTATAATAAATTCAAATAGCTTAGAATACAATTTTATAAAGACAGATAGTATTCACGTCTATTTAAACATTTATCACAGAACTATCTTTAAAATTAAAAATCACCTTTAGAATTAGTAATGGACATTTCCTGACTTCGTAATTGATCGACTATTCCACATTTATCTTGATTGACTTACTCAAAGCTCTTCATTTACGGTTCTAAAATCGGGCTTTATGATATAAATAGGACAGAATTAATTGTTTTTCCGGCATATTCTACAAATAACATCTAAGTAAACAATAAAGTATGTAAATATGAGAGGAGGGATAATAAAGTTCCTAGAGTAATTTATAACAATGAACGATAATAATAACAAATAATCTCACTAAATAAAAATCATTTATTAGGCAGATCGACAGCAAAATATTCTATACAGCTGTTCATTAATGAACTGTTGCAATTGTTATCTTTGGTCCATATACATTAAGAAATCATTCTAGTCCAGTATGTAATTTAAAATAAATTATAATGCAAATAGTAAGATTTATTAGTTTAGTAATTTGATTCTTTTAAGCTAGATTTGCATTAAAAATCACAAGCTCGGGCGAATTTTTAAATTATGATTGTGACTTCTCTGTCTGATGCTCAGCTTCGCTCTCACCTCCAGAGATTTATGACAGAGGTGCCCCCTGTCACAGGTAACTTTCTATATAGCATTTATAATTCATTAAGAAACCACAAGAAATGTTTTGCAAAAGAAGTTAAAAAAGCTGCTAGATGATGAAGAATCTGATACACCGTGTAAGGCGCATTTTTTTTATTTTAAGCAGATAAAATAGACAATTTGGAGAGGTTTGCTTTGATTAATGTAACTTTTTGTAAGTGAAAAGTTAGTACAGGAAGAATATGTCTTTTCTTCCGAAAACTTTGTCGGGTAGGATAAGAAATATTTTTACACATTAGGCCTGAAGGGGATCAGCCTGAAATTGAAGCTGACCTTTCTCCTGCCCTTAATACATCACAGACTTCGATAGACGGTGTAAGTAAATCAAAATTGGCTCCTAGTTACAACACCTTGAGCAATCAGTTGGAAGCTTCGTATTCTCCTTTCAAGAAAGATAGTTTCGAAGATAATGACCTATCGCTTCGCGGAAATGTTGAATATGACTCTGAGGGTTATCGCATCCGTCGAATTCCTGCCACAAAGCTCCCTACTTACCCTGGAGGGGTTCCCATCTTTAGGCGACAGTCTCTTCTTCATAGCGTTGATCCTTATGGCGAATTCGTAATTCGTTCTCCTGCACTGCAGGCTAAATATGATGCGTCGGTGATATTTGATCGCGTCTTTTCCCGATCTGGTATCGACAAATCTCTTGATAAAAAACAAACCATACCTACATTTTTCCACCAAACCAGGATTAGATTTCTTGCGGCATTGACGACTCT